ACGCACCATTAACAACAATCCGTTTGTCTCTTCACGCCATAAAACTCAAACAATTTGTTCACTAACTTTATTATTTGCCACGCCTTAATATTTCTTTATACATATTTATTGCTAAATAATATTATATCCAATTGTTAAATATCTAATAATTCTTCAATAAATTGTCATATCATTAAATATTATTATCGACTTCCCATAATTTCTGCATTACTTCTTGTCACTATGCTAACTTTCTACACTTCAACTACGATAATACACAAACAATTTTATTCATAATTTTTCTTTTAAATTTGTTCGTTTATTTTATTTTCAACAATATAATGAGTTAATTTTAAAATATGGGTTGTTATTCATTTATTTATTCATTTTAATATCTAATATTCTATTTTCTATTTCTTATAATTTATATTATTAACTCCTCATTTGGTTTTACAATCTAGGCTCCGACGATGGCATTAGCCGAAACGGCCGTCAGCCAAACTTCACAGTTTAATAAAGTTGAAACAAAACAGCTTCGTGTTGTTGAAATTTTATTTAAAAAACTTCTAACTGCAAAATGGGGTGTAATCTTCAACCGTACATGTAAGAACCTCATACCAAATTATATATATATTTATTTATAAAATTATTTTACATAAAAATTGGAAGTTATCAAAAAAAACTTTGACAAAATATTACAAACTGTAAGAATAAATTGTTTAAAATATTTTATATAAAGTAAAAAAGTCCGTTATGTTAGAATTGAACTAGACTAACATTCAATTACCAGTTCCACTTCTTTTTCATCGATATCATCTAAATCATTTGTCGCTCTGCAAACAATGGATCCTCTACAGTTTCTTTTAATATTTAACAACGTTACCGATGAACCTTGATACGTCCACATGACATTTGGCTCTTACAATCACAAAAATTTGAAGAATTTTGTTTTTAAGTTTTTAAGAAAAATATATCTTGATTTAAATTTAAAAATTTACCATTTTGTCTCAGTTGCGATGTCAAAAGTTTGTCCATCGTGTTGTTATTCAGCAATTTGCACAACGGACTTTCATTGGCTCTCATTATTCTATACCAGGTTATTACGGGTGGAGGGGTGCCGACAGCAGAACATTGCAAGGTCACGTTATCATCTTCACGAACTACTGTTAGGTTGCTTGTCAAGGAATGTTCAATTCTGGGTGGAACTGAAACAACGTTAGAAAGAAATTAAATTAAAATATTTCAACACCTTATGTTTTTACAAATTTTAAAATTTGAGGTAGCTAAATTATGATTTCAAGCTCTTCTGGCAGTCATTTTATATTTAACCATTTCGTTAACTTTTAAAAATATATATTTTATCATACAGGCCTATATTAATTATATTTTATGATTTGAGTACATTTTGAAGTTGTTATAACTGCAAATGTCAATTAGTCAATTATTGTAACGTTCAGTTAAGTTTATATTGTATTATTTTCATGTTAAAATGCAAAAAAATACCAAAAGATTACCGATTTCAAAAAACTATGGTGACACTAAGTTTGTTAACAGCAGTTAAGCCCTAAAATATAAATTCAGTTGTTCAGCAATTGTCAGTGAGCCGGCGAGATTATAACTCTATTCAACCATTTATCATTTCTTTGATTTAATTTGTCATACGCAATTGCCCACACGCAGCAATTTTGCATTTATAGGAATGCACTAGGTGACCACAGTTTGTATCGTGTCTGGCTTTCTTGTGAAGTTGTTTTTCATAATTAGAGATGACGTTTAATGGTTGGTGTATTAAATCCCAAGTTTAATCGTTTCTTGTTCATTCTTGTTTTTGTTCAAAACTCAATTGCAAATTGAACAATGCATGCATGGAATGATATTTCTAAACAACTGCAGTTTCAATCGAATATATGTTATATTTTTTGTTTTATGTACATTGCTCAGAGGTTTTCAATATAATTGAAGCATGCGCTTTAAGGTATCATGGTTAATCCAGACAACATTCATATTACCACATTACTGCCTGCAATTCTGTCACATTGTTTTATATTATGATATAAGTTTATATTATGATATAAGTCTTACTGAAGTTGATACTTGGATAGTAAATTGTAAAATAATTTATTTGCACACCCAAAAGGAAGAGTGAACAAAAATGAAACCGAAAAAGAATACATTCTTAATTAAATCGAAATTTGTCCAATTCAAATAAGAAAAAATCAGCACGATATTAAAACAGATTAATAAAGTTAAAAATTATAACAGAAAAACAAACACATTAAATATAAAAAAAATGTATATGCTACATTAATAAAAAATTTGTTCAAATAAAATATAAAACAAACAACAAAAAAAAACCCAAAAACATTAAAATCGTTCAAAATTAAATACATACAAAACTGAACTCATAAAAGTTGGCACATGGCAACGATTGTAAAAAGTGGCTATTAATTCAATAAACATTAATGACAATTCGGTCTAGTTTTGCACTTCAACGCGGAAGCTGTGTCATTTTTTACAAAAATTTATCAATGCCTGTTCGTGTCAAATCGTTAGCAAAAATTGCTATCGAATAAACTGAATGTTCTATTAAAATGCATATTAAAACGTGCCTCAAAAATTGTATTGGGTGGATTGGAATACGAACACGTCACCAGTGGCGGATCCAGGGTGGTTCGAGAATTCATTTCCCAAACAGACCATGAATGAAGAAAATATTGAACATTTTGTGTATAATGTTGCCACAAAGTAAACGTAAATTATCAAAAAAATAGGTCATCAACTAAGAGTTTTGAAAATCATCCCCAACTAAAACGGAAACATTTGTAAATAATGAAATTACCTTTGACGAAGAGATAAACTATTTTTTTTCTTATTGGACTGACATTGACCGTGCAAAAGTAGATTCCTGCATCACTTTCTTTCACCGCTGTTATCTGCAAGTTCCAATCCTTTGGGTCTTGTCTAATAACACTGAATCGATTGTCGTCGACGATTCTTCTATCTTCAAGAGTCAACGGTATTGAGGTTCTGTTATCTATCCAAGCCACCTCATTAATTTAATGAGTAACATATTAGGAAACTAAAATTTAAAAACAAACAACTCCATTATTACCAGATGCTACATAATGCTAAAAAGGTATAGCGACCTCGATGTTTTTCAAACTTCATTTTTTATCTTTCTGGCACAGCCGTTTGTTTAACTAAACAAATGCCAGGCCTCGGAAGATATGAAATAAAATAAAAATTTCACCGATGTTGCCATTTCTTTTTTGATTGTGAAACTAAATCCTAGAAGCAATTAAAAAAATATATTGATATAACTTATTGCATACTTGATGATTAGAAAGGTAATGAACGGAGCAAGGTAAAATAGCAGTTTGACCTTCCAGAACTGTCACGTTTGAAGAGGACAAATCAAAGGTCGGTCCTCGAGAAATAACTTTTGATGAAGTGTTTTTTAAAAACAATTAATAAATTCAAATACTTCTGATTTACTGGTTTCTGCTGTTTTATTTGTTATTAAGATTTTATAAAAAAAAAACAAACAAAATAAACACAATTCTTAATTTTGAATGGGTAGTTATTTTGACGAGAACATAATAAAATTTTATTATTATGCAAATCAAAAGCAACGTGCAACAGATAATTGATAGATCAGATCACTGATAATTTAACTTACCAATTTCTTCATAAAATTCATCCCGATCTTCAATATAGTCGTAACCCATATCTCCTTCAGTCTGGCCTTAAATTATAATTTTTTCAAATTAATTGTATTGTTGTTTCATCAAGTATTGCTCAAAGCCTGGGTGACGGCCTGGCAGCTAGAAGCACCTTGCAGTTTGAAGGGCCTCGGAATTTAAGGGTTCTTGCATGAACACACAAAATTTTCAAACAAAAAGAATATTTATGTTTTAAGATCCTATCAATTATTTTTAATTTTTTTATAACGTATTTACAGTGAAATGTGTCATGTGATATATTGTGATAAGGTCATTTATTAATTTGTACAAACAAAAATTATTATCGTTTTTTAAAACAGAAACTTTTCTGTTTAACACGTTTAACACCTTCATAACATTTGTATTTTATAACTTGTGTATGCATTCTATTAATTAATTTATTGTTCCTTATTATATTGTTTTATTCATTATATCATTATCATTTTTACGCAGTGTTAATATTTTGGCATATCAAAGCTCATTATTCAGCAAGATAAATAACATCAAAAATCAAAACCAATAAAACATTGAATACATAAAAATGAAAAGAAGCTTTTTAGATACCGCGAAAAACGATTCAACAATTTATCGGCTAAATTTCGTGACCATTAATTACCACCAATGCTAAACAATCACAAATTTATTTTAGAACCGGGTTGAATTTGTTCTGATTTGGTATTTTAAAGCGGTTCTCGCAGCCATTGAATAACAAAATCAAAATTATTAACAAATCATGAAAAAATGCGCTTTAATTTTTCCTTTCTGGTCGATATTTTTAGAGTCTTAAGGTTTATGATTTTGTATGCAATTCAGAAATTCTGAGGTTCGAAAAAAGTGCTGTAACTGAAAACACTTTAAAAATTTGTAGATCACTTTTTTTTTAATAATATATAAATGTATAAAAATTACATTGCATATAATATTTGCGTTCTAATCCAGTCTCTGCAAATCAGAAGCAGAGGTCTTTATTTACGTATATTTTTCAAATAATTCAGTATCAAGAGTTAAAACTTCAATAATATCTTTCAATAATATCCTTCTTGTATGGGACTCTCATAAATAATTATGATTCAAGGAAGCTTAGCTCAGGCGTTTTTATAGATCTAAGCAAGGCATTCGATTTAATTGACCACAATATTTTATTGTATAAACTGTCTAAGTATGGTTTTCGAGGTATAGTACTGAGCTGGTTCAAGTCTTACCTATACAATCGGTGTCAATATGTCTGTATTGAAGGTGTTGAATCGTTGCCTAAGGAAATAGTTTCTGGAGTTTCCCAGGGTTCAATCTTGGGACCGCTTTTGTTTATTCTGTTTATAAATGATATTTTTTTAATATCAAATGTGTGCACCACTATTTTATTTGCTGATGACACGACTATATTCTTGTCTGACGAAGACCCGATAAGACTATTTTCTGAAATGAATAACCAACTGGTTAAATTCTCCAACTGGTTCACTGGAAACAGGTTGGTTCTGAATTCAAAAAAATCCTGCTATTTAGTCTTTGGCTCTAAAATCAAAACGAAGAATGATATCTTCTCTGGCCTAACCATTCACATAAGTGACTCAGTGATATCCGGAAACTCGTCAGCTAAATTTCTGGGAATTATTATCCAGTCTGACTTGAAATGGAATGAGCATATAAATTTGTTGGTAAGCAAATAATATAAAATTACTGGCATTATTTATAAATCACGCAATAAATTAGGTACTAAAATCATGTTAATGCTATATTACTCCCTAATCTATCCATATCTCCTATATGGAAATGTTTTTTGGGGAGCTTCTTATGATTATTTACTAAAATCATTGACAATAGTACAAAAAAGATACCTTAGGGTTTGTTTTTTCTGAAACACCTTGATCATACACTGGCAATATATTCCAATAATAGTATCATCCGTATTGAACAGCTTAATAGGTATCTAACCTTGTGTTTCGTTTAAAGAGTGTTATATGATGCTGAGTTCAACATGTTAGGCTCATTTGAAACGGTGTCAACAAACACTAGGCAAAAAGGTTTGTTGATACCAATGACTTGCAAAACTGATTTAAATGCTAGATACTGGGCGGTAAGAGGAATTCGTCTTTGGAATTCCTTGGAACTAGGTAAGAAAAAATTTTCCGGATATAATGAATTTAAAAAATATATAGAAAACTTATGCAGATCAATGTAGGTATGATGCTTTCTTTGTTTAATTTTGTCGTGTTTTATTTAATTGTTTTACATCTGATTGAATATTTAACCTCCTTACTTTAAGTTATAAAAATGGATTTATTGGGTTTATTTATATTTATCGATATACTAAAAATGTTTATATTTGTATCTCATATTGTTGCACAACTAGTTAAGGTGGTCAGCACATGCTTTCATTTATAAGATCTATTTTTTTCGAATAAAATTCTGGAAAAAAAATAATTTGGCATTGCATAAAAAGCATTGCAAAATATCTTTTGTTAACTTTAAATTTAGATCTCGTACCGTCACAACGTTTCAGTCTTCACATTGTGTAGTATTTAGTATTTTTTCCAGTAAATAAGATTTGCTGATCACGTTCCTAACTCACGTTTCAAATTAATAATATAATTATCAAACATTATCATTAAACTCACGCTATATTTAAATCAATAAATTTAAATTTATTTTATCATGTTTCGATAAATCCAGCTTTTTCAACCAATCGCCATCCATCACAACATCCATAAACCTATTATTCCTCAAATATCTGTCAAGCAAATAACAGCCTTAAATATAAATGCTTAAAATGTCATTACTAATTTTATAGATAAATAATATATTATGCTATCTTTTATAATTACCATTTCCACAGATGTTCTTTTGAAATTGCCAATTCTTAGCACTAGGCTGACACAATTTTTTATTGTGTCCAACAATTCAATAAAAAAGTGAGAACTGAAATTTATAAAAAGCTAAATGAATGTTATATAGTAAATATAAATAATAATTTTTTTGGTGTTTGCCCATCTGCAACGGGGACGTCTATCTTTGCCAATTAATATTCCACGTGAGTAGCGAAACATTAAAATAACATGTAGTACAGGTAGAAGTGATTAACTCAAATACATGGCAATGCATATATAATGTTTCATAATTACTCTCAAATATAAAATAATTTATTATAAAAATTGAATTTTATAAACAGGCTTGTTTCATCGATTTTGTTATTTTTATGATGTAAAGAAATATCTATTTGGTAACATAATGGAATTCAATAAAAATGATTTACGAAAATAATTATAGTTTTATACAACGCAGTCACATTTAAAGCACACATAACAAATAATTCTGGTTTGTCAAAAAACAAGTTACGTTAACAAATAAAAAATAAAAAAAATTGTTTTTATATGGTCGAAAATTGATGAAAGTTTCGTCTAAAACTTTTAATTTAAAAACTATTAAAACTGAAAGCTGGTTATAAAAAGCTTTTTTAAATTTAATCAGTTTTAATCAAGCAATAACACAACAATACTTACCTCTGACATAAAACAAAGTTAGCCAAATTTTGAAAACTGCAGTTACACAGAACATCTTAACAAGATGGCAACCAAATCATCAACTTACGTATCTTCTAGTGCTGGTACTGCGTTGGTTTTACAAAAACATATCTGCCATATATATATATATATATATATATATACATATGTATATATATACATATATATATATACACACACACATATATATATACATACATATATATATATATATATAACATTGGAGCACCAAATAAAATCAGTAACAAAAGTGCGTACTTTGCAAATGCAAAAATTATAAATAATTAAAAAATCCTTGGATCGACGAACTTTTCAAACAATAATGTATGTGTTCACTCACTCGCGTTTGGACAACTTCAATAGTCTGTTCGATGGTTAACCCAAAAAAAATCGATGAAAAAGTTACAATCAATTAAGAATGGTACTGCTAGAGTTGTTTCAGGAGCTCTTAGATTCGACAGTTATTCTCCGATTTTAGAACAACTTCACTGGTTGAATGGAATCCTCACTAATAAATTTAGAAACAGAGGAATCATCGATAATGATGAGACTTAAAAGTTAAACATACAAAGAATTAACATTGTAGAAGAATTAACATTGTACAAAGAATTAACATTGTATATATATATATATATATATATATATATATATATATATATATATATATATACATATATATATATATATATGGCCACATACACAACGTATCAATTCGAACACCAAAGATAGTCTAGATTTACCGAAAAAAGCTTTTTTATTTTATTTTGTCATGCTTACAATAAATACAAATTTTTGTTTGGACCTCAAAAAACTTGACAATGAATTACGATCTACCGTTAGTAAAATCGAAAAATTAAATAGGAAGCTAAATAACACGGAATATGCTGTGATTTTCATCAATAATTGCATTTCTGGCGGTTTTAATCCAATAGATATATATATATATATATATATATATATATATATATACTGTGCTTCTACAATGTTAATATATATATATATATATATATATAAATGTATATAATACATATATATTAATCTATATATTATATATATATATATTTGTGTGTGTGTGGTGTGTTTTAACTATACAGCATGGTATATATGTGTATGGGTGTGTGTTTATATTAACTGAATGCAGGTTCGTGATATTTTGTTGTCGTTACTCGTAATGTAATTTGAGATCATGATTCGTCT